TGCTACACAGCATAAGTACATCAATATGTATCAAAAAATTTAATAAAAATTGGGGGTGATTTTTGAGTCATTTTTTGGAAAAAATCATGGGCTATTATTATAGTACAGGGATTTTTTTCAGATTTTGGCTGATTTTTAAAAATGGTCGTAACTTTAAAAATTTAAGTCTTTTGATGCTGGGCATCAAAAGATACATCCTACACGTACATGGATAATCAGTACAACTCAGTAATCTTCAGTATAACTTAGTGTAATTTTTAGTATATTCTCTGCATACTTTTAAAGGTAGCTCTGGCATAGGTGGTCGAGTGACTGGCCTGTCTCACTCCAATTTCCCGCCTAATTGCTTCACTTGATTCTGCAACTGTACGACCTATGCATAACTCAGTAAAACTCAGTGCACTCTAGTATATTATTGGTATATTCTAGTAATCTCACCTGTATCTGCAGTGCTCTGTATGCTCATTGAAGACGGTCACTAGTTGGGTTTGTGTTTCTAGTTTGACTTTTGTTTCTTCTCTCACTTCGTCTGCTCTCATTTCCTCGTGTACTTGTCTCTTTAGTCGATTCACTTCAATCTCAACCTCAGCAAGTTCCTTCTTTAGTAGATTATTAGTCTAGAGATCAGGAAACATGACAAATGGCCAATTTAAAAATGCCATAACTTTAAAAATTGAAGTTGAAATCAGCTCAAACTTTCTACACAGCCTAAGGACATCAATGTGCATCAGAAAATGTAATAAAAATTTGGGGTGATTTTTGGCCATTTTTTGGACAAAACCATGGGCTATTAGTAATTAGTAACGCGGTAGCGTTACTAAGTGGGATTCACCCCCAAACAAAATGGCTGCCACGAAATTTGCAGCCTTGCTATACCGGGAAAACAAGCTCCTATGCTTACCAGACTTCTTAGAGGACCTTATCTTGACCAGAGGACTCCATTGGTACCACTTTTGTGGCTCTAGACCTGGTCTAAGAGGAAAGTCAAAAATCGGCGAACCGGCCGTTTTGTTCAGCCACCTTTTTTCATCTTCATCATCAGGAAAGTCCTGTCAATCCAGTTGTCGGTCGATATCTCAAACTTGCCTAATGATAGAAGGATAATTCCTACACCATTCTACTTCAACAAGGTATGCGCAGGTCCTTGTCCCCTAGAATCATTCTCCAAGAAAGGAAGAAGTGATACTACGACTGTTGGATTGTCGTGCCAACTTCACGTCGCCATTTTGCTAATTAAAGCCATGTGCTCCAAAAGTTGGGTGTGGTCGCGCATGCTCAGATTATTTGCTCTAATTATTCGTTTATGTAAAATTGAAATATTAAATGGCTACAGAATTGGACTCTGAATTGGACAGGTAGGCTTACATTACATTAGTTATTAGTTGCATGTTTTA